GCTGAATATCCATTTTAATTACACATTGTATGGTCAAAATGATATAAAATAAATTGAAATATGTCATATTAAATACGAGGAGACTTCCTTGGCAAGCATGCTCTTTACAAAATTTTGCTGTAAGGAAGAGAAAATTACACAAGATGCATTATATCTGTCTTTTCCAACATTGTTATTTTAGTTGGAGAGAGAGCAATTTAAGGAGGAATTAATAGATAGAGTACTTATCAATAAGTTAAGAATGCAACAGAAATCTTCAAAGAGTGCTTGGAAATTTTATGGAGGTTATAAAGGTTTTGGAACTCTAAATTCAGAACTAACAGAAAGTTAAAAAAAAATCAAAATATTAAATTATATTGAAACAAATCCTTGTATGCAAATGTACAAATGTATTCAGTAGATGTAGTTGCTATATTTTTTAATGCAAGATCATGTATTTTAAGCACTCTGAAGAAAAAAATGTCCTCCAGACTAAATATAAACCTATTCTCTCTAGTACAGCTTATCTCCAACACTTAATACCTTGAGTTTGAGTTCTTACACATTCTTACAGTTCTGACTAAAATTGGAAAAAAATGAAAGTTCCTAAAATAACACTCCTTACCCTGATTTTGCAATATATTTTTAATGAAGAGTGCAAATAAAACTATGCTTTGGACACAAGATTTCAGAAAAGCCATTTATTGATTCACTTAGCTGCTACCCTCCATTGTGTTTTTAAGGAACTGCCATTTAGAACTCAGATATCTCAGATATTTGAGGGGATACTGTATGAATCTTCTTGGAATCAATGATTTTGGTTTTATATAGCTACCAAACTGGATTCCGATTGTTTTATCTGCCTTAGGAGGATAATGTTTGTTAAATAATACCTTTGCCTTTTTCAGTTTTGGGTTGGCAAATTAGGAGGCATGTTTATACTGCACCAGAAGACTTCTTTTTCTGCATTTATTTTTTCTCCTATGTTGAGTACTGCTGGTGACAAAGAAGAAATACAAGTTCTAGTGACAGACAGGTTACTAGTCTGTCTGGACTTTAAACACTGCTGTTTCTCTGGGACAATTTAATGACAGAGAAATAGTAAATGAGCAAAGACAGTCATTTTTGAAGGACAGTTGTATAGCCAACACCTAAAAAAAAAAATTCAAACATAGACATTCCTGGTATGGTCACAAGTTATTTTCTTTTTTACATCAGCTTAGTAATTACAAGAATAAAACTAAAAAGAATAATGAAATCTAACTTCTGATTTTTATTGTCTACATGTATTTGTGCCTCATTATTGTCAGAACTGTATCTCATTCACTATCACTTCCTAGAAATGTCTGAAATAAAGTACTCGCATATTAGATTTTAATATATTGAATCCTAGATTTGTAATAAAATCACCAACAACCAAGTTAGCAACTCATCAATCTCTATTTATCTTGTGATTTCACTGCCTACATACCCAGTAGGATTCCTTGGACTATGTGGGCTTCCCAGAAACGCTCCAGTGCTACTCCATCTCTTCTTCCCTGCCCTTACTGCAGAAACTGCATTCAGCTCTGACAGTCTGCAGCAGGGACACACTGGTTGTTTGTCTCTTTTATCTACCTGCCTCGAAGCTATTACTGTAAAACCTTTAGCAGATCAAGTTTGGCACCATATCTCATGCAACATACAATGAGATCATATATACCTATTTTCAAATTGCATTTCATTTTCACCTTTTCCTAAAAGAAAGATGACAAAAATGATTAACTTGTACATGTCATTTCCAGGTATTATCATTTAAATCAAATTCACTATACACAAAAATTGACTCTATTCGCTTTTTACCAAGATCACAAAACTTGACACAGACAGCTTTGTATGCATCATCCTGCTGTAATTTCAGTCCACTTTCAGCTTCTTTGGTGACCCCTTCTCTAAAGCCAGCAGCAGGTTTGCAAATAATACTGGTTTGGGACTTTCTGTCTGCACAAAGCAAGTAGAAATCAAGTATGGAGTTGAATGGAATGACAGTATAATGGACTTAATCATGTTAGCTGGAATTGGGTCTTATCTAAGCATACGTAGGTAATGCAGCTATCTATATCTGAGTAGTTACTTTTGGCTGTTGTCAGTAAATACATATGCATACAGTAGAATGTGGTTCATTTGGTCTTAAAATAAACGTTTAAAATAAGTTAAAAGAATTGCTCCCTATGAGAACACAGAAAAGGCCCAGGTCTTTATTTTTTCTTTCCTCTTTGGGAAACTCTATTCTCAGAAAGCACTGCAAGTTCGCTTGCCAGGTGATTATTTTGTGGTGTTTTGCTTTAATTCCAATAAATGCTAAGCACTTGAGAAGAAATTAACCTAGCATAAAAGTCATCCCAGCATCTCCTTATTCAGCAAACATTTCTCAAGGACGATTTAGGGTTTCCGTGTACCAAGTGACTTAAAAGGGGGTGTTTACTGGAAGAACAAGAAAACTGGCCTCACTGACAATCAGTGCTGTTCTGCTGACTCTCAATAACATAAAAGGAGGAAGGAAATCAGAGGTTTCTGCCTATTCCACCTTATACTCCATACAAGAAATAACATCTGTAATTACTGGCAGAACAGACTGGACGGAGAGGGAGATACAAGCTGCATTTATGTGCAAAACAAATATGGAAACACAGTCTGTGTAATGGTAGGCAAAATACATGCTCTGAAATGTTTTCTTAAATATCATAGTAGCACTTTTAAAATCCATTCAGGCATCAGCTCTTTGTTTCTCCTGATAAAGCCGAGTAGTAGCTCAGATCCCTAATACGAAGAACTTACCATCTAAAAGATGGAGTCAGACAAGAGACATATTTGTTCACCATTTATGGAAAATGGAAAATGTAACCCATAAATAAACCCTTTCTGCTGCAATTCTTTTTTGCCTGTGATAAGCCTCACAATGATTACATTTAGCTGTGTAGTGCTGGCACTTGAGAGGTTCAGAGTACTATTCTCAACAGTGAAAGAGGCAGCGTCCTTTATATATACAGCATAGCTTTCTTTTAAGAGTCTGTGCATCAGTGAATAACTTTCATGATTACTAGAAACAAGAAACAAGCTCTAAGCTCACAGAATTTCCTTATCTTTTATTTAATACTGCTTAGTAGCACTATAATTAATTATTATTATTTTTTCTTTGTGTGTTTTATGCTGTGATCTAGTTGGCTAGAACACTGCTATCTGATTGAATTAGGGAAAGAATAGACAAGAACAGGATCCAACATCTGGCAAGATGTAACTTGGACTTTCTTCCTGATTATGTCTGTTTCAAATGCCAGGTGTCTATCACCTGGGGTGCAGTCTTTCTTTGGCAAAGTAAATCTATTACTACCTCTCTGAAGAATGCTGTCTCTGAATGATGCTGTTGCTAATGGAACACTGATTTACTGCCACAACTGTAAAGAATCTTTTTAAACATTGTGTTACACTTCCCATCAATTTAGATCAACCAGACCTACCATATGTGAGAAGTTATCTGCATTTTTCTCCAATAAAACTGAAATGATGAAAGCTTTGCTTTCCCTAAGGTATCATCCACTATTGGTAGCGCAGTTGCTTTTTCTTTAGCCCCCATCTTCTCTGACAAGGCTGGAGCATATTATTCCTGCAATGCTTGCCAGAATTCTATGGCTTATTTGTTGTTTGAGACTCACCATATGTGTCTTTGATCCCTGCCTAGTAGGCACCTTGGCTGCTTGCCAGTTTGGCACTTAATGATTATCAGCAGTATGAATAGCTCCCTTGCTTCTGATTCTGTCCTTCTCGCTGTCATCAAATCACTCTTTAAACAACTTTCTTATTTTATTTTAGATGCTTGTAAATGACTGACTTATTTTTACTGTGCCTCTCTTGGCCAAGTGTTTGTGTCGCACTGCAGGAAATCGAACATTTCGGTGTTTTCACTTCTAATGATCTGACTGCCAACTACCTGTGTAATTGCATGGAAACAGTAAGCAGTACAGAAATATCTCTCATGGTAATAGCTGAAGTTTCTCTGCATTTTACCCAAATGTGCCGGTTCTTACCATCTGGTACACTCAGTGGCAGGATTTCTATGAGATTATTTATTTTAGTGAAAAGCATTCCTTTTAATAAACGTTTTAAAACCTTTGACCAGAACACAGTGAGCCAATGACAATGATAGATTCAGAGGAGTATCAAAATGATAAATAGTTTTACGAGACAGATGGAGAGCCAAAAGCCAGTCATGTGCAATTTCTGTTCACTATTCTGATATACCACTAAACACATCTGAGTCCTTCCATGTGTTCTCATAAACTGACATTCCTCCAAAATGCCATTTTTGAACAACAAAAAAATATGCAGAATCAAAATAAAGAACAGCACAGGGCATGTAAAGGTTCAGACCACAAGAGGTCTGTGTGCTGCAGATCTGCCAGAAGTCTCGATTCTTCTTCACATGATTTTGCAAAAGCTTCCATCAGTAAATATGCTGGTACTACCACTGAGGCTAGATAAGGTTAAGCAGCATGTGGTACCACAACAACCTTCAAGTTAATTCATTAGTAGGGTGAAGTTAAGTAAGTTTTTAACCCCTGCAACTAAATGACAGCATCAGCATGGTTAGGTCTGCCTAAGGTGCACTCAGAGCTCCTTCTACTTTCTATTGTTATACACGATTCTTGTCTAAGAATAGCAATTTGGTGTAGCTCTAAAGATTTTAGCACAGTGCTTTTTCTGTAGATTAATAATCATTATCCTAAGAACCAGCCAGTTTCAGATGAATATTGTGCACATGCAAATATGTCTTTTGATTTTAAGGCAGCTGTTTACATATAATTAGAAGCACCAGTTGAAAAATTCAGTGCTAAATTGTCAAGAATGAAAAATATATATATATCTGTTTTCAGGAGAATGAGAGGGACAAAAGAAAAAAAAAAAAAACAAACAACAAACCAACAAACTATGAAAAGCTGTTTATTTTGAAGTATCATCATTATGTTCTTCTTCTCTGCTCAACACTACTGATTTCAGTTAAAAATGCTCCTTTTCACCTTAGTTAGTGGCACTCTGAGTCTTAAAGCAGATCTGTGCTACAAAATGTTCACAGAGGGCCTAGCATGGAAGAGGACCAGGAAGCTTTGAGCCCCAGAAATATACCATTCAAATCTGGCACGATGTTTTTCTGATTGTAACAACAGTGACGCAGAAAAAGGCTTATACTGAGTCTTATCATGAAACTAATCTCTGTCATATTTGTAAGAAAAATGATTAAAGGTTTGACTTCAGTGCTGAAGTAACTGGAGAAGAGTCCAGGTCAAGTAGGCAGGAGAGGTACACTGTATACACAGGCATACTCTATCTTTCTCACATAATTGTGTTTTCAGCCTATTTCCAATTTGCTAAGAAAACATAAACAATGCAAACAAAAAATATTTACGTCAATGCAGTATTTTTCTCTTCACATACACCACATCAGACATCAACAGCCTGTCACAGGGACACGGAAAAATAAGGCTTGTTTTATGATCAGCCTCTGTGTATTTTATTCCCAGTTTTCTAGGTAGTAGGACTCAGAGTCAGCATATAGCGGGTAATTTGTGGAATCTTGAGCTGTGAACATGTAAGAATTTTGAAGACAAATACCTGTCTGGTAGAAGAGAGAAAGGATATGAATTGCCTAAGATTTCAGCCAGCAGAGAATCTCCTCTGCACTTTCCTGTGGGCAGGTTAGAAATTGTAGAGACGCCCGAGACTGGCATTTTATAACATTCTGTAAAACCGTATTTTAAATGTTTTATTTCTGAAGAGCTGTCATAATCCTCAGAAAAGAAACACTTCCCAGCCCTTCCAACACGTTCCAGCATTGTTTTACAGGGTTTCAATAGACAGAAAAGCAAGCCTGAAATACAACTGACTGCCTTGAGAGCCTCATGCCTCTCAGCAGAGAGCTGAAGCAGGGACTTGGCTGTAAACTTGCTAATCTTCTTAGAAAACAAGGGAGAGGTGAGTGAAATTATGAACTTGCTGATACCCCAGAAAAGGAGTTATCCGGAAAGCACAAGGTATTTCATTTGAGGGGAGCCTGGAAAATTGGCTGACACTGAAGGGAGCGCTGAAGGGAGATGACAAAATATAACCTGCTGCTTTTGAGAGCTGTTAAATGCGAGCAACGTGCCGCTTGCTCTAAGTTTGCACGGCCCAACTGTAAAACAGACACGCTGACAAGCACAGAAGACTTTTGTCACAGATGTGCCACCACCTGAACTGCCGACCGGGAAATTTTATTCTGGATTTTATGGGGAATCATCGGCACAGCCCCAGGGTCCCCAACCAGGCCGGCGAGCTGTCAGTCCTTCCTTGGCCCTCTCTCCTTCCCCTCCAGCCTTCCGCAGAAGCACGCAGGGCACAGCCTGGGCTCCGTTCCCCCAGGGATGCGTGTGCTTGCCGTCGCCCTGCGGCAGAGCGGTTGGCCGTCCCACGTTCGTGCCTCCCGCCCGGCAGAAACGTTGTCCCCGCGTCCCCTCAGAGTTCCCTGCCCGGCTTCCCGCAATGGCGGGCAGCTGTGGAGCCGGCCAAGCCGCCGCCCGACGCGGGCAGGCAGCGCCCGGGCCGCGCAGCGCTCGGGACGGCGCGGAGGGGCAGGTGAGGAGCGGGGCAGCGGCGGCCGCCGGCGGTTGCGCTGAGGCGCGGTTGCCGCAGCAAACTGTAGGCGGCGGGGGTGCCGGCGCGGCGGGCTCCCGCCTTCCGCCAATCGCGGGCGCTGCCGGGACCGGGCTGCAGCCAGTGGCTGCGGCGGGAGCGGGGCCGGGAAGCCGCGCTGACCTTGCGGCTGGCCGCTCGCCGCCCCGCCATGGGTACGGTGCCGTCGGCGCTGAAGCACTGCCTCAGCGATCAGCACCTCCTCAAGGAGCAGCTGTGGATCGGGGAGCCGACCGCGCCTCCGCATCCCGGGCAGGTACCGCCCCGCGCCGCGGGGGGTGGAGGGGTGGTGCGGGGCCGGCCCTGCCAGGCGCCGCCGCCGCCAGGGGGAGAACGGGGCGCGGCCGTGTGCCGCCGTGTGCCGCCGGGCGGGGGATCTGCCTCGCCCCGCGCTCACCTGCGGCGCCGCTGCACGCTGCCTGCGTCCGGTCTCCGAGTGTCCGCATACCGTGTTGGCCCTCTCTTGGTCAGTACCGCGGTATTTTTCATTTGCCCGAGGGTACGAAGGCCCGACAGAGGGTTCTGGATAGGCTGGATCGATGAGATGAAGCCAACTGTATGAGTTCGAACAGGACCAAGTGCCGGGTCCTGCAACCCCAGGCAATGCTACAGGCTTGGAACGGAGTGGCCGGAAAGGTGCACAGAGGAAAAAGATCTGAGGTGTTGGTTGACAGCCGACTGAGCGTGAGCCAGCTGTGTGCCCAGGTGGCCGAGAAGGCCAATGGCAGCCGGGTCTGTATCAGAAACAGTGCTGTCAGCAGGAGCAGAGAGGTGATCATCTGCCTGTGCTCAGCACTGGTGAGGCTGTACCTCAAGTGCTGTGTTCAGTTTTGGGCCCCACACTACAAGAAAGACAACAAGGCCCTGGAATGTTTCCAGAGAAGGACAGTGAATCTGTGAGGGGTCTGGAGCACAAGCCTTTTGGGCAGTGGGGGTTGTTAAGTCTGAGGGAGGCTCAGGGGAAACCTTATTGCTTTTTACAACTACATGAAAGGAGGTTGTGGCAAGCCTCTTCTCCCAGGTAATAGTGATAGGATGTGAGGTAATGGCCTCAAGCTGTACCAGGAGAGGTTCAAACTGACTGCTGTGAATTTTTTTTTCTCAGGAGGTGTGGTCAGGTGCTGGAATAGGCTGTCTGGGAGGTGGTGGAGTCACGCTCCCTGGAGGTGTTCAAGAAACATGTAGATGTGGCTCTGAGAGACACAGTTAGCAGGCATGGTGAGGATGGGTTGATGGACTAAATGATTTTATAGGTCACTTGCAACCTTAGTGATTCTGTGAACATGTCAGGTTTCAGACAATGCAGGTGGGCATCTTCTGAGTCAATCCAGGGTCAGGGATGATGCATTGTTAAAAGAGTTCTGCTTGTGCATCTCCCACTTCCACCCCTCTGTTATAGTTCACAGTGTGAAAAGTGAGATAGTTTAAAAATTGTAGGGTGACAAAAATCTCAACAAGCCACAGTATCATCTTTGCTTACCTGGGTTCACATTTCTCAAACTCAAGTTCTGGGCCTTTCACAGAGCTGCCCGTGGTGCTGCGCACAGTTCCAAACCATGTCGGTATTGAGTTTGCTGCTGGTGCTGCTGTTGGCACCAGTGAAACTCTCATACCCTCAAGTAGCATGCTGTGCTCTTACCAGCCATGGGCTTGTCATGGAGCCCACCAACACATAGGTAAATAGGAATATTCAAACATTTCCTTCTTTGTTACCTCCCTGTGATTTTGTTGGACGATTCTAATAATTTTTTTCACCTTTCATGGATGTTCAGATTTTCATTTTTTCTCACACGGATGCTCAAACAACACGTAAAAGTTTTCCTTATGCTTGAGTTTATTCTGCAATCACTACGTTCAAGAAAAAATATGTTCTTTATATGATAGAAACCATTGTAGCTCAGTTGATGGCTGTAAAAAGTGAGATATTTGTAGTTTGTTAGGTAGCTCCTGTTAAGACCTGGGGAATAGGCAGGCAGAGAGAGAAGAGGGGAGAGCTTAAAGTAGAAGTGTGTTGCCACACACATACAAACATATATACCAAGGTTAAATATGGAGTAGAAGTTTAAGAGTTACGAATCAAGTGTTGATGATCTGTAGAAGCTTTCGAATCAAAATGAGAGACCTAGTTACAAAATGACAATCCAGTTTAGAAATCAAGTTAGACTATGCAGTGTCCATAGTAGCAAAAGTGAATGGATTCCTAAGGGAGTTAGAAGCTTGTTTAGTAAGGACTGTAGGAATAAACATTTAAGTGATTGTTGAAATATAGGCAGTTCCAAATTCAATTTTTTGATGACATACAATACGTTGAACAAAAATGAGTTTGGAGAATTGGAATGTCTTCTTCAGTTGAATATCCATCTTCTGCTTTCAGTCAGTGCATCCTCCTCTGCTACGGGAAAGTAGTAGCTCAACATAACTGGGTAATAAACATCTTTCTCTTGGGCAATTGTATTTTTATGAGCCACTGGCTAGATGTACTGAAAGGTGTGTCATATTAGTATTCATTTGCTCTGTTGAGAGCTGCTTATATCTATTACATGCAGACCTAAAGTGATTAAAAAAATAACACTCTGGTCTCTCACTCTGCTGGATGAGGCTGTGACTCTAAGAGACATAAATCTAAATAGTGCTGATGTGTACAATGTAATCTTGTCTAATTTCTGGGTCCTTTGTTGGATGCAGTATGCTGTTATTAACTGACTGATATGTTATCACTGCAAATCACGGTATACATTAATATTAGTTATGTAACTACAGGTGAATTCAAAACGTGTTTAAGTTTGTATAATAACAAACCAAAGCTCAGGTCCTCTAATTTAGACAGCTAACATCTGTTTCAGTGCCTAGGTCACAGTGATTTGTATGTTGTATGTCTAATTATGTTTAATGACCTAGACCTAAAACGCTCAGCCTTAAGATTCCCTCTCTACTCACTAACTAACACTCTTGAAGCAGGACATATATAGAAGAAAGACAGTGACCTTCTAGAGAAACTCCAGCAGAGGGCTATGAAGATGATTAGGGACCTATTGTACCTCCCTTATGAGGAAGGCTGAGAGCCCTGGATGTTATCAGCATGGAGAAGTCCGAGCAGGGATCTTGTCAGTGTTTATATGTCATGGGCGAGAGCCAAGTGAATGAGGCCAGGCTCTTTTTGGTGGTGCCCAGTGGCAGCACAAAGGGCAGAGGGCACAAACCACAACCCAGGAAGTTCCATCTGAGCATGAGGGCTTTCTTTTTTGTGAGAGAAACAGAGCGCTGGGACAGGCTGCCCAGAGAGGCTGTGGAGTCTCCTTCTCTGGAGATGTTCATGACCTACCTGAATGCTGTGCTGTGTAACCTACTGTAGGGAACCTGCCTTGGCGGCGGGGTTGGGCTCCATGATCTCCAGAGGTCCCTTCCAACCCCTATGATCTGTAATTCTGTACTTGTCTTGCTTTTACAATTTTAAGTTAGTAGTTTAGATTTTGCAGTATGCTTTCATTTTTTAATGGTATGCTAGAAACCTCTCAAATTTATTTTTAAAGTAATTCGAGAATAATGTGATGAAAACTGACAAATTTAGCTGTTCTTGTCTTTGCCGCTTGTGTTCAACAACTGATTCTTGGTTGAAATTACAGCATAAAAACAGAGATGTCTGATATTATGCTGCCTGGGAAGTCAAGTCATGCCTGTTATATTTGAATCATTTAGCTACTCCGCAGAGTGATTGATTTGAGACATACTGCATTTCATGTTCTTTTTATCTCTGTGTAATTTTATATTCCAGCAACGAATGTGCATTGCAGACTCTTCTTAAATTGCCAGGTTATTTTATTTTTTTATTTAACGTATTTAACTTCAAGAATTGCAAAAAAAAATCTGGAATTGCAAATGTATTATGGCAATTACAGTGTACAATAAGTAGATCATAATTCACATTCAGTTTGTTTTGTTATGCTGAAAGTTGCCTACCAAGTCTGTTTTTATGGGAGAAAAGAGAAGCTAGAGGTTGTAAACTTTATATTGTGAAACTCTGGTTTCCTAATTTTTAGAAGGATGATGTTACTGAACGATGCTTAATGAACTCAATACACAGAGAAAGAATGTTAATTTCAAGGGGCGAGGATCTGGCATCTTTTTTTTTTTTTTCTTTTTTCTTTTTTCCCCTCTCTTTCTCTTTGTGCTTTAGCCACTCTTTACCTCATTCTGTGTTTTTATTCAGAACTTTCAAGGTATTCAGATTTAACACTGTCTTTCATGTAGTTTAAATAATTGCTAAGTGACTTAGAAATTCCTGATTTCTAACCCTGCTTGTTCCTCTACATGCAGCAGCCATGTCAGTATAGAATGCATCCCAAGAATGATTCTTTTCTGGTTTGTTACAGATTTCCACACATTTCCAAGTATTGTTTATTTGTTTGATAAGACAGAAGGCATACAATCTTATTCAACCAATAAGTATAATCAGAAGAATAAAGCAGGAAGGATTACTCAAAGAACAATTTAAATTGAGCAGCATGCTGTATCATTTCTTGATGACTTTGGAGATGGTAAATGGCGTTTGGCACACGTTAACACTGAAGGTACAAAATAAAACACAGAACACGCTCCCACTGAATTTAACAGCAGTGGAGAGAGTTCAGTGTCAAATTCTTTCCAAAATTTTCCTTTAAGTCAAGAGGAATTTTCCCTTTAGAAGATCAGTTCAGTAGACTCATCTCTATTTTTTCAGCCAGATATTCTTCATGCTGTGATTTAACGGCTCGAGAACATCGCTGGATAAAGCGTCGAAAAGTGGAAAGTCTGAAAAGGCCAAGCAGTCAGTTTTCTAAAGGGTGCCAAACAGAATGTTAGAAGGTCAAGGTCGGATAATAAAATGTAGGTTTGACACAGGTGAAGTCACTGACTTTTTTTTTTCATGCTATTGGATTGTGAATAATGGAAAGATAACAGAAACT